TATATATATATATGAATATTCCTTATGCCAAATCTGAGACTGACTTTTGGATAAATGTTAAATGGTAAATATACGACTATTAAAAATACCCTATTGACTATTGTATACTTAAGATCCCCTCATAATTACAATTGCACAAAGATTAAAGTCCTATACAGAGGGTGCACTACTAGCTAGGTCTAAAATAAACATTTCCAATGATTTGGTAGCGAGTACATAGCAGCCTAATGACAGTTTGTTGACATTGTGTGTTGGGCTATCTGCAGTACCATTTCACAGTAATGCAGTGGCAACAAAAAAAGACATTTGACATTGCATATTGGGCTATCTACAGTACCATTTAACAGTGATACAGTAGTGTCAAAAGAATACATGTTATATTACTTATTTATAATAGCTTTTTAAAAATTAACAAACTTTTTGTTTCATCCAAAACATTAGAAAATATGTAAACTCTAGAAAATTCCAGGTTCTACAGAAAGTTTATTGCCAATAAGGAAAAAAGAAAATTGCATTGAATTTTCACATTTTGTCACTTTATCATACAGAGAAAGTGATGATGAGGAATCACGTAGTGGTGTTTCAACCAGTGCAAAGAAGCGAACTTCCAAAGATCGAGGTTCAGAGGATATCGGAAAAGTTGTCATTGTTGACATTAATGAAAAGAGGAAAAATAGCTGGTTTCCTGCTCTGGTAAGTTGCATAGAAAGCTAGAAATGTTTACATAGTATTAATAATAATATAACTAATATTGTAATTAATACCAAGTGCAATTTGATTTGATTTGATTTATTCGATATCAACAGAATAACATTACAAATCGGAACAACAATAAACAGAGAAACAAAAAAGAAAAAACAAGCATGTCATCTTTGTTGATATCTAGGATAACCCTCTAAATCCCAACACAGGATTTATTTCCAGAGGGGTCTGGAATTTTATTTTATTCACTGCAATCCAAAATGCATGTTCAGTACCTTAATGTAAGTTTTCACATAAGAAACATGAAAAGATGACATCACAATTAAACCTCCCTATTGCCCTGTAATTTATATTCACATTTTTTTCATAGGTTGTTCATCCTAAGAGAACAAAAGAGGTGACATCGAAAAATAATAACCTGATAGTGAAGTCCTTTAGAGACAACAAAATGTAAGTTTTTCCATAGTTCGGTTGCAATATTTATTGAGGAAATGATTGGAAAAATATTTTGGTTGAATTGTATAATTAATATTGTTTAGCATTATATATCGTATCCACTTACAGATTGTTCTGAATAAAACCATTTTGTTCCCAAGTCTGACTGACCCCACATTTTTTTTGCAAACTATTTTACTGATGTTGTACTCAGCATATCTGTAACCTTTTTTGCCAAAAAAAACAAGGATTAATGAATCTTGGTATAAAGTATTTTAAGTCCGATTTATGTAATTATAATAAAATATATAAATCTACTTTTATGTCCTTGTTATTTTTTTTTCTAGTCATAATATTGCCAAGAATAGCACGAAAGCCTTCACAACAAAAGACCATGTGTACAAAGGTGACAACAACAGCTTAAGAGCAGGTATGTACACAATTTTGAATGTTTTTAGGCCTGGATACACTTAATACTTTATTTTTTTTTGGCTGGTGCGACAGTGCCCTGATTTTCACTGTTAAATGGACAGTAAAATCTCCCAGAGTTACTCCCTCCTCTGTCCGAATTGCATTCAAAATTATAAAAATGTTGTTAGTCAAAGAGGTTGATTTTTCATATAGCATCTCAATGGTAAGACTCTTTGTGTGCTTTATTTGGATTTTCAAATCCAATTTTCAATGTTTTGTTAGAAAAGATCATTTGTTTGACGTCATCGCTACCAATTACGTTTGTAGTTCTCATTTGGGAGGATCAGAATTGAGAGATGTTCTTGCATGAACAAAGTTAAAATTTATGTGAATAGAAAGTTGTGTAATGCACTCCTTCATTTGAGTCCTATGTTAATACTGTGATGAAAAAGCTAACACGAAATCTCTTCTCCATATCTTGAGTTCTTGTGTATCATACTACAATAATATACATTATAATTTATTACTGTTTAGCTGTCAATAAGGCTGTGTCGTACATTGAGACCGGTAATCTACCAACTAATTGGGATAGTAGCATTATTAAAGAGGAGGACTTCCTTTTTGAATCCGACGAAGATATAGACAGTGAGGATGAGAGTGATGATGACTTTGACGTCGAAACTGATGCTTGGTTAGCATCCCTTTACAAATTTATGGAAGAGAGAGGTAAGTATATACTTCCTTTTACTGTATACAAAAACTCCAAAAGGTTTTATTGCTGTTCATTATATGTAAGTTATTATCCATCGTAGTAACACGCATATTTTCAGTCCCACTATGAAATGTCTATGGGTAAACAGAAATTTGTATCACTATACAACTAATTTTTCATCTATTTATTTAGGTATCAAAACATAAATCCATATAATTTAACTTGTTTACAGTTTATAATAAAATATTACATGCTACCACTCTAGTTATGAACAATTTTACAACCAACATGAAGAAAACTTAACAATTCTAGAGATACCAGGATAGGCAAGATTGAAAAACACTGTCATCCTGTCCAAACCAGAATTTACAGAAGCTCTTGACCAAAATTTTGTAACAATAAAAAGCAATAAGTACAAGAACCAAATGTTCTAAAAATTAGGCAGTGAAATAATTGTTTATTAATTAATTAGAAATTCAGAAATGTACTGTCAATTAATGTATTTTCATTCATTCATTCATTCTCATAGTATATTTATTTCAAAACTTAACAAACATACAGGTACTAACAACAATGAAAATGGTTTAAATAAGAATTGCCAAATATACATTGTTATAAAAACTAAATTGCCTTATATTAACAAGCAAAAAAAAAAAAAACACTAAAAATACTAATACTAAAAAATGCAAAGAGACACTGGCCAATTATAAACATACAAGTAGTAACAATATCACTTTAGTAAGCTTTATGAACAACTTATTTATTTCTCAAGGCACAAGTTACCTTAAAATACACCTCTGTTTCAAAGCACTGTGCGGTTACTAGGCACTCGCAACACCAATATGGATCATCTTCTCATAATCTTGTACTATTATTATTATTATTATTATTATTAGGTACACCGATTAATAAGCCACCAGTGTTAGGTTATCAGGATCTGAACCTGTTCAAATTGTACAAGTTAGTCCAGGACATGGGTGGGTGCCGAAAGGTGACTGACCATCAAAAGTGGCGGGAGATATCGTTTAAGATGGGCATACCAGTCATCAATTCATCCAGTCATCATAACATCAAAGGTTCCTACATAAAGTAAGTTTCTAATATTTCTGGTAAATTTCATAATTCAGTTATTTATTGCATTATTCAGTTTGTGCATACCTTTATATTTATGTCAGCCCTAAAGAAGAGTGCAAGAACTTGAAAAACATTTTAAATTTTAATCTTTCAACATTTATGGATTTTTGAAGTTACTACATTTATTTTGTTTAGTATGTTTTTGATACCATTGTACAACTGCAGTTTTAACTGCTTGAATTTTGTTTATTGTGTAATATTTTCTACTGTTAAATTGTTATTTTTGTCTTGTGTACTGTTATTGGTACTTAAGCTGTTGAATGACATGAAGTATAAACAAAATAAATAAAAAAAATTATAGAGGATTTTTATTTATTATTTCTAAAACAATATCCTTCTTTCAGATATTTACATGCATTTGAAGAATATAATCGAAAGCTTGGCCCAGGTCTCCCGGGCCCATTAACCAGAACAACAAGAAGGCGCTCATCATTTGAACGTCCTACACTTTCTCCCATTCGTCCACGCATGTCAAGAATGGCAGATGAGGATGGAGAAAGCGATAATGAGAGAGAGCCTCCTATGCTAAAGAGAAGAGTAAGTCTTTTGTATGATTACATATATAGAATATTATAACCTGCTCAGTTGTTTGTTTGAGTACTTATTTAAAAGAGAAAGTAAAAGATTTGTATTTTTTTCTGAAGGGTACAATTGCTGAACTAGATGAAACAGAGGATGTAAATGAAAAGCCTGCAAAAAAATCTGATAGACAGAACAAGAAAGATGACAAACAAAAGGCAAAGGATGTCAAAAAGGAAGAATTGTATAAGGATGAGGATCCTGAAGAAGTAGTAGAAAAACCTGGTAAAAGTAAAGGAAATGAACATAAACCAGAATCAAAGGTTAAAAACAAAGACTCTGTCAAGGCGGAAGCTAAGGACAAGCAAATTCCACATGTTAATGAGTGAGTTCTTCAAATAAATAAATTATCAATATTTAGTATTTATCTTTCTTGTATATATATTCAAAATCATGAATGTTTTGTTGTGCCTGTTTTCCAAAAGTTATGTGTTAGTTTTAGAGTAAACATGAGTTTCTATATGTTTGTAGAAGCATTGAAAACCAAACCCAAGAGACCGATACAGATTATCAACTTGGTGAAAAGATCAAGGTTCTCTATGGTAGAGGAAGAACTCAAAAGGTTTATGAAGCAAAAGTAAGTAATCATTTGTCATCACTATTCTCCCAATTCTTCATTCTGAGATAGTATTGCTTACTTTAATCTCATTTTTGGTGTTTGCTCTCACGTTAACATAATTTAACTGTTTTGGTTTGTTTTTTTTATTTATTCCAAATAATTTAGAATTTTATTTTTTAAAATTAGATAATCGAGATTGATGTAGAAGCACACTGGCAGAGGATGTATCGAGTTCATTATGTTGGTTGGAATATACGACATGATGAGTGGATTGGCAACAACAGAATTGTTGGTTCTGATGAGAGAGTAAAATTAAGGAAAAAACAAAAACAGGATAAAGAAAAGGAAAAGGAAAAGAAGTTAAAAGAAAAAGAAAAGAAAGAGAGAGAAGAAAAGGAAAGACTACAGCGTGAAGAGAAAGAAAGAATACAGAAAGAACAAGAAAAACTTTTAAAAGAGAAAAAGGAAAAAGAAAAGCAGGAAAAAGAGAGGCTGGACAAAGAAAGAATAAAAAAAGAGAAGGAAAAACTAGAAAAGGAAAGGAAAGAAAAAAATGAAAGAGAAGCTCGTGAAAAAGAACGGCTAGAAAAGGAGCAGGAAAAGTTGGAAAAAGAGCGAAAAAGGAAAGAAAAAGAGAAAGCTGAACAAGAAAAAAAGGAAAAAGAAGAGGAACGACAGCGGCAGAAGGAGGTTGAAATTGCCGAGAGTCTAGAAAGCAAGAAAAAAGAAAAGAAAGATGAGAGGCCAAAAGCAAAATCAAAGACAAAAACGAAAGAAGATCCAGAAGTATTGTCTACAGAAAAAAGTGACAAAGAGGACCAAACTGAAAAAGGTGATGTAGAGAGGCCTAAGACTCCTGGTAAACGAGGAAGACCATCACTTAAGTCCAACACTTCTCCAGCCATTAGTCGTAGTAATAGTACAACACGTAAAGTACCTTCACCAGTTTCATCAAAATCAACGAGAACACGTCGGTCAGATCGAAACAGTTTAAGTGACTCGCCATTTGCAGCTGGTCTTGAAGGTTAGCTAACGTTTTGCTCTTTTTCATCTGCATTTTATGACATTAATTTAATTTTTGGAAATCATTTGAGTAAGGAAAGAATACTTCAGAACTTAAGGCCTCTGGCCCATGATAATTGAAAATACAAAAAAAAATTTGTTTTCCATTTTTCAATTTGTCATTAATTTCAATATGTTGCTTGTGGCTTTCAATATTATGAACATAATTAGATAACTGAAAAAAAATAACCGTTTAAAATAAATAACCATTAATATGCCATCAGCCGATATGATTTAATGCAAAGTTCACTATTAAATGTCGAGTATGTTTTCTGTTTTTACAATTTATCTCATTAAAAGGAGAGAATCAACACTAAAAGAGATTCAAAGAAGAAAATATGTTTACAATATTAATTAATTCTTGTATGATATTTTTTATTACTTTTGTAGTCAAGCCAAGAACACGAAGAAGCTCGATACACTCTGATACGAAACTCAAGCAAGAGGAAGGCAAGTTTCATTTAAAACATTTTTGTTTCTATAATTTGTAAATGAACTTTATTACTAAATTATATTATAAATTGTAAATGGTAAAGAACAGGAATCTACAAGTGTGAAAGATTGCCCAAACCAAGATTCAAACCTGGAATCTTTTGCTGCTTATGCAGATGTCTTAACCAACTTGGTATTTGAATCCAATTTTAGGCATTTAATTAATTCAACACTAGTATTCGATGCATAAATGTGAAACAGCAATCGATGAAGACATACTTTTTAATGACAGATGTTACACGTACAGATTCCACTTTACCATTTACAAATTCCTCTATATTAATAAGGCATTACCGCAAAACGGTTTAGAGTTTTTATCCCTACTTGTAACATTATATAACAATTTATTGGAAGTTAATGGTTAATGGTTATCAATTTATAGAGCGCAAAATACAAAAAGTCTCTAAGCGCTATCAGGCAAGTGTAAAGATGGAACGGAAACCAAAACCACAAAATATAAAGAAGTGAAATTTGAATACCACGCCAGCACCCAAACCGAAGTATGGGGATACGCCCTCATTAATGGATATGGATGGTTAAATTTTCACCAGTATTTTAAGTGTATACAAAAAATATAGTCAACATTATTTATTTATTTGGCAACATTTTTTTTTCTCTTTCTTTTATTTGAATATATGAAGTAAGCAATCAAACAATTAATAAGTCAAATTTGACAAACTCAATAATTTACGATTAGTTACTTGATTGACACAGGCTTGTATTTGATAAACTAAAGATAAGTATAAGATGTAACTTATTTCAAGAATGCACTTAAATGTTGGAGTTTATTGTATTTCAGATTCTGAAAGTGAAAGTTCAAATTCAGTGAAAGACGAGGAGGAAAAAACAGAAGAAACAAAGGAGCCAGAAGAAGAGGAGGAAGAAGCACCTGCGAAAGAAATTGAGGTCACTGAAATGCAAGTAGATGAAAAAGAAGAACAAGAAGTTAAACAAGTGAAAAATGAACCTATCGAGGAGAAGGTAGAAATAAAGGAAGAAATTTTACCAATTGAAGTCCCTGTAGTCGAGGAGGCAGTTTTACCAGAACAGAAAGAGGTAGAAGAACCAGTCGAAGTTACTGCACCAAAGGCAAAAGAAAAAAAGAGGGAGAAGAAAGATGGAAAAACAAGAAAGAAAAAGGAAGGGAAAGGAAAGAAAGATAAAAAAGATCAGATAATAGAACAGTCAGAAGATAATGTATCTACCACTGCTCAATTAGAATCAAATATAATCAATCAAAACAGTGTAGAAAATGTAAAAGAAATAAAAGAAGAGGAGAAGAAAGTTATGAATAAACTGGAAAATGAAGAGGAACGTCCTAAAAAAGATTCAAAGTCAGAAGGCAAGAAATCTAGGAAGCGTAGACGATCAAAGAGTTCATTAGATAGGAAATTGAAAGCAAGTACAGAAGTTGAAAGTAAAGATAAAGAAAATGATGTGGAGGCTAAAAGGTTGTCTATTTCAATTAACTGCTCCAAGGAAGAAGCAGGAGCTGCTGCCTTAATGGACATTTACAACCCTAGCCAAAGTGCTTCAGCTCAAGAGAAGTTAGAAAGCATGGCGCAAACCAGTAAGTCATTAACACCTCCCACTACTCCAGAAAATTCACCGCCAAACCCATCTTCCCCAGCAGATCAGTCAATGGATATAGATATGAGGCAGGAAGAACCAAGCAATAGGAGTGATAGTGATGGAGTTATTGATGTTGCAAGTGTTACAGATGTCCAACCCATTGGCAATCACTCTCCACATTGTGATGCCAGTATTAGCTCCAACACTAGTGTAGATAGCAGCATGAATGGTATTGGCCAAGAGAAGCGCTCAGGAAGTTCAAAGAAACGGCGTCGCACCATTTCAGAGGGGGACACACCTAGTAAGAGGAAGAGACGCAGTCATAAACATTCCAGCCATCATGAAAAGAAGAAGCGGCACAGTAAAGAGCCAATAAGACACAGCAGCAGTGACACCGATGATACCACAAATAATGATTTAAAAGCAACGGCACAAAAGATACCTGTCTCTAAAACTGCAGAGCAGAATGGCAAGCCTGTACAACGACCAGGCCGGACACCAAAGTACAATTTCAGAGTCGGTAAGTATTTTTAGTTTTACGGCATACGTAGTACATCATCTGTTGTTGTAATTCATAATGGAATGCCAAGGGTCTTGATTTTGGTAGATCTTCTATTAGCTAGGTTTCTGCCAATCATGTTTGTATTAATGCACGGTAGTAATTTGATAAAATATTTATAAAAAAATTTATAAATATTTTTAGAATTTTCTTTTTTTTGAAAGTAAACTACTGTTGGTGCTTTAAAACTTCCAATTTTATGCAACCATGAGTAACTGAAAATGACCAAATAAAAAGTTGAAATAATGTTTCTTCTTTCTACAATGAAATTGTTTCTGTAGATGTACTTTTTAGAGTTGTGTTGTACTATCTTAGAAGGAACTTTATATACAGTATAATCAAATGTATATGACACTCTAGTGGCTTCAATTGAAAGTCTTGCCATGCTTTGTATTTCACAGATTTGTCCAATGTACATGATCAAGAAGAAAGAATAGCAATTATCCAACATCAACTGAATGAAATGCGTAAAATTTATCTGAGCCTTAAGAATGAAGTTGCGAGCATTGATCGAAGAAGGAAGAAGCTAAGGAGGAAAGAGAGGGAAGGAAGAGGTAAAGGTAATTTAAAATTTATGTAAAAATAAAAAAGTTATTATTGCATAATCACTTTTTTTATTTACAATACAAAAACTTCAAGTAAATTTTAAGATTTATAAAAGTGACTGCATATGAAAATTTGCTTATTAAATGGTTAATCTAGACTAACCGTGTATCCTCTGCTGTAGTGATATCTTAAAGGCAGTTGTTTGGTTCGGAAGGAAGGGGCTCCAATTTAGGTGTTTGTCAAATAATCAGTTCATAAGATGTAAACAAATGTTTGTGACAACGATGAGTGCATGCCTTTTACTATCCAGCACCATGTATAAAACAAATTTAAGCCTATTGTCATAATGTTACATACCGCATAAATTACAAATTGTCATTTTGTGTCCGTGGATAAGAATGTTTACTACTGGATTGTAAAGAAACTGTTCAAGTATTGCACACTAACTGTAAATTGACAGTTTGTTGTTGACTATGCAGAAGCCAGCCATGTGTAGAATGAAATTGACTTTTCCCACCAGCAAATCAACTCTAGAGTATATCAAGCATAATAATAATAATAATAATAATAATAATACAGTAATCAGGAAGGACCTAATTTATTATTGACATTGCAACATGCACACAACTGATAATAACAATCACTACTACTAGTAGTAGTCCCTTGTAGGTACACTTAATATTAGTAAGGCGAGCCTAAACTAAGACCAGGCCCCGGGGGTGTGGGGGGAAGGGAAGTGGTGCAGCTTAAGCTTCAACTGACACTGTGTTTTTAATAGGGAGCTATATTAAGAACCTATATTATTATTCTCGTCTTCAAAAGTTTTACCAAAAATCTATACCAAACACTGTGGTGGATTCAATCATTGAGTAAATAAATACATTGCTTGCATAGGAGCAATGGTCCTCACAGGGGTCTTGTTTAAAAACAATTTTCATACTTGTATCCCACACATGAAGGTTATCTTTTCCTTGTATCAGGTGGTTTACATTAAAAGAAAAAAAATGTTAATGCTTTTAACACCATTATTCAGATGATCATTGTAACTTTAATGAAAATTTTTAAAATGTTTGTACTTAATCTGCTTACACTTTATTAAAGATAACATTCAATTTTTATTTTTCTGTTTTCTTGCTGCAGTTGCTGCTGCTGCCACGATATCATCAGACCGACGGACATCAGACCGACATGGCAATGATACTTCATGACCCTGCTGACCAATCACAAGCAATTCCTTGCCATCTTTCGCCTTCCATCAATGTAGTAGGCAAATTGGTTTACATGTATAAAGTGCATTTTGTGGCCATATTTTGTATTCAATAAAATTATGTACTGTAGATGTTTTTTATTCATGTGAATATTGGTCAGTCAGTAATAGAAATGTGTACACCTTGCCTCCGTTCAGGTATATTACACATTGTTGTGATCATGTAAAAAGTATTAGTATACGTATTTGAGCTCAAAATTTTGGTCTCAATGCAAATACCATTGTGTGCATTCATGTACATAGATAAGTATTCCAGTTGCTAATGTTGGAGAAGAAATAGAATGTATCTTTTTAAACAATTGAGGTATTGAATATCTTCAGTAAAGTAAGTGTTTGCAATTTCTGGATGAGGTTTGTAACCTAAATTCTTCATCTAATCTTCTCAATTGAAGTTGTCTTCTTGATTGAAGTTGTTCTTTTAACAGAAAGTGTTCTGCCAGTTTTAAGAGCACTGTTTAAATACAGCTCCTGGTTACCTTCAATTAAAATTGTCTAAAGCTTTGTCCAGACTGCTGTCACAATGTGCCTATATATGGACATGATGTGCCTATATATGGTTAGTGTGCCTATATATGGTCATGATGTACCTATATATGGTCATGATGTGCCTATATATGATCAGTGTGCCTGTATATGGTCAGTGTGCCTATATATGGTCATGATGTGCCTATATATGGTCATAATGTGCCTATATATGGTGATGTCATCATGACCATATTTAGGCATGTCACATGTTTTTGCCAAATAGAATTTGATAGTCTGCACAGTGCTTTAGATCTGATTTGCAGACAGAACTCATTTGTTGATATGGAACAAATTAATACATTTTTGAAAATTAACTATTATTTAAATTTCATTGTAAAAATTGAACCTTTCATTTGTGTTAATTCCAATGCAGTAACTTGTTTTAGCACAAAGATATTTTAAGTATGTATATAGCAGATTGATTTAACTTTTTTAGTAATCATGTACAGGTGCTTAGATATAAATATTTTTGTTTGATCTGGGGTATATGTGATAATTTAATGTGCTTTGTTTCATCATACTCTACAGCATTAATGTCAGTTACACACTAATGCTGACTAGACAGCATGAGTATAGCTGGCAGCTACAATATAATTTAATATAATACTTGTTATTAAAATTCAAAACTTCATTGCTTCAAACCATGTAAACACCTGTAATACTTAAAAATATTTTTTTTTTGAATTACAAAATTGCAGTTGTATTGTCAGCCTACAATACATTATTCAGTGCTATTTCAATTTCGTTTCCATTATGTCATCATTCCATACAGGTTCTCTTATTTTCTAAGAATCAACATATTAATGCCTGTTTATACTGCAATATTAACAAGGACTATAAGCAATTGCCAATCATCAGTCGAATATGTTAAGCTCCCTGGGGAAGTACTTAATTATTCTGCAGCTAGTAATCAGTTCAGTAGCATTCAAACCTACTAGGTACCCACTTATTCTCCTGGACCTTAGCAACAATATCCAAGGAATGGGGCTTAGCAGGAAATGTCCATTAAACCCCTTCCTCCAGGCTGAGTGAAAAATCACAACTCAAGCTATTTCACACACACACGTGATTATTTTCTTAATTCATGCAGTATAACTCATGAATAAATATACAAATTTAAAGTTTTTTTTTTAAGCATTTCCAAAATAATGATTATCATTTAGTTAAAGTATAGAGTTACAGTAGTTAACTTTTATTCCCAATGGCTTATATAAGGTGTAACAATTATGAATTTATTAAAACATCACAATGGACATATGTACAGTATACCATCAAAGTGTATGTAGTATTTTTAAGTACAGTATATATATATATTATTTTTTACCAGGGATAATAAATGTTTTCTGTTGTGCTTACACAATATAAGACCACCTGGTATTATGAACTATGTAGATTCTTTAAATGCAACAAAGTGTATTGTAGAGGTGAGCTATTGCTAGAATGTTGGTAATTTTTCTGCACAGTTTAAATTACATATTACAGTAATAAGTATTTTCTTATTTTGAAGTACTGTACTCTGTTTAATAGTGTACTAAAGAGGATTTGTAAATATATATTTGGTCTCAATTTGTTTTATTTATCAATATTTTGTTAGATATGAATTTGAATATGGACATAATTTATGTTATGTAGATGAATCAAACACAATTTTTACATTGATTATTTGTGAATTTGGAATTGATTCCATTCACAGAATTTCACTATATTTCTCATGTAATTGCGAATTTCTTGTATTAGTTTACCAATTATTTATACGGTGCCAAGAACAGAAGGTATTAATAAAATTTTAAAATATAGTGAGAATGCATCAGTTGGCTTCCTTTTCCCTCCCCCCTCCCCCTCCCAAATTGTCAATTTATATATGACAATATGTTAGCAATATAAGTGGCATTTATGTGCTGTATATTTTAGGGATAAGAAAAAATAAATGAAATGTTGGGTGTTTTGCCAGAGGCTCGATAAATTTTAGTTTTGATATGTGTATAGACTGACAAATGACTACTACTGTATCGGTCTTTTCTCGCAAATAGGGAGTTTTCTCAAGATTACGAAAACGATAGCTAATACGGATACGTCATCAAATTTGTATACAAACCCTTCCCCTACAGTAATATATGTCATAAAATTGGGGATTCATGCTTTTTACAAGGGTCATGGGTCATAGTGAGCTCGTACAGCGTACTGTCAAGAATGTTTTAGGCACGAATGACGATAATGACGTATTCGTTATCGTTTTCGTAAGGTTGCAAAAAAACGAATACGAATACTACGTCATCTACGTAATCGTCATTCGTTCCTAAAACATTCTTAATACATATACGAGCTGTATATGATCGTTGTGGCAGGTGTGCTACTGTGTATTGTAGATGGATTGACTAAAAAATTATGGCCTAACCGTTTTCGTTAGCTTGCGAAACCTCCCTATTAATAACATGTTATACAATTTGTGTTTATTATGTTGTTGCTGAAACGAAGTAATGTACAGGATAATAAATAGAACAACGATGTGCACTAAAATGTTATAAAGAACAATGTGGCACTAGCAAGTAATAACAAGTTACGGATGATTCACTTCCAGCCATTCATAGTATTTCTGTATTGGAAGCTTGCATAAATCGCTAATGTTTGTGTATATCTTTTTAAAGGAATGGATTAGCCGTTTTTATCTCGCGTGTTTGCTATTTTATTGCTCGCTTTTCAACATCACGAAGTGATGACATTTAATGTATTTAAGTCTATTTTGTATATATTTCTAATATGAAATATATGTACTTGTTCGTCGGTGTCATTTATAAATCAATATGTTTATTTTGCTTTTATATTACAATACATTTCATTATATTCGATACAGTATTATGGTGTATGAAGCATAGGCTAGCGCTTTAACGAAAAGTTCCTTTATTCATTTGTATGAAAGGTGTCTGGTGGGATGCGAACCTGCAACATTTCGCTATGAAGTCAAGTGTCGTACCCATTAGATCTCAGACACCTATAGGATGTACTGTAGGCCTACGTACAAATTTAACCCCCAAGCACTTTCATACAACTGACTCAAACCAGCATTTTGATGGCCTTATTTAGGCCTAATAGATTTCTGAAACGCATCATTTGTGAAAAATTCCATTCATTTTGGTGAATGAAGGGACCTGAAGATTAACGTTTTATGTTCATTGCATGTGCGGGCTTATATTTTTGTTCCGAATGGATAAATCGGAGAGAAGCAGTAGCATATACACATTATTTATAGGGAAATGATACCAAGAAATTCACTCGATCCATCTCATAAACAAACTACTTTAAAGTGTCAACCATCAAAGAATAAATTATTTGACGCTCCGTGACTAAACTTAAATGTGACTGTTTACTGTTCGCTAGTTAGAATAATATTACGTGTAGGTCTACTTGTTATTATCACGTACTTACGTCATAGCATCACGTACGTACATGATATTATTACGAACGATAGTAATAGAAACCTTTTGGTGGAAGGTAAGTTAAACCTTATTTACCCAACGTGAATCATGATTGCTCCGCATATTTTATGAAAAATGTATATTTTGAAAACTGTTGAGCTATAAACTGAACAATAAACTATTGTTTATTGCATATATTCAATGTGGATTTCATGGAGTAGGACTATAACCAAATATTGCAATTTTAGCCCTTAGGTTAAAAGCAGAACATGATTCGGTTTTAGAATGATAAAACAATGTTTTGGTCATTGCAGGTAAATTTACATGATGAGTAACTTAGTAGTACACTTTTTGACTCGAAATGCCAACAGACTACATGCTATGCGATGGATTAGGAGCCTTCACATTAAAATGTCAATAATACACGTTCCTGCAGTCTTTATGTTTGGAAAGACGTCGTCTGTGAGGTCTTTTTCGAGAAAAGTGTCTTCAACGTCATCCAAGTTAATCGGCAAGAGTGGCAACGATAATGGTTTCAATAAACTACAGGCAGTTTTTGCGTCAGATGATGGTAAATTTGTAAACGTTTCATGGAATGATGGTCGTGTGACGCATTATCCGTACATTTGGCTAAGGGATAACTGCCGTTGCAAACATTGCTATGATTTCAATCTCAATGAAAGAGTATTTTCTTTAAGAGACATTAATGCAAGTGCAACATTACATTTTTCTGAGTTGGCTGAAGACAGTACTTTAAAACTACATGATACAAGCGGGCATACTACAGTCATTCATCCCTCATGGTTAAAAGACCGAAATGTTGGAGAGATCAGGAGTGATCCTCTCATAAAACAAATACACTGGGGGTCTGATGTGATGACATATTTGCCAAGATTCCAATACGATGATGTAATAAATAATAGCACTACCCTCTATAAGTGGATGAAATGCACCAAAGAATATGGCTTATCTTGGATTAAAGGAGCGCCGACGCAAAACGACGAGCTCAGGACACTTGGGAAAAGACTTGCCCATCTTAGAGAAACATTTTACGGGTGAGTTGTAGAGTACATTAAAACGACCAATTTAAAATGTTATTTCTTTTTGTTATGTTATTAAAAAGGTGTTTTTCCTCATCCACGACAAACCCTCTCTATACAAACTCTCCATTCACTATTGAAAAGTATTTAAACGTATGACTAGACTACTGGTGAAAACAGGAGATGCATATGGTCTCGAAGTGGGATGATTATTTTAGAAAAAAAAATATTTGAAAATAAAATTAAAACTCTATGTATTCTGATTTAATTACTGTAGGTCAGTTTTCGTGATCTTCCACAAAATGTCTTAGAATAACTGCCATTTTTATCGATGACCGTGTGCTCGTGAAATCAACTACTGTAGTAAAAATCCATGCATAGGTCTAACATACCCGGTAGGGTGTCTTTTACAGTAGCGTTACAAAATGAACTGTTGCGTAACTGTTTCACTGGGGAAATCTAACGCTACTGTAAGCCTCATTACAATTATTAAAATGCTTTTTAGTAAAAAAAAAAAGAAAAAAGAAAGAAAGAAAAGAAAGAAGGAATGCGGTATTTAGGTGAGCATCTATTTCGTATGTAGGTATAAATCGTGTTAGTATATGAATAAGGGGTAGCAGGGCGGATCCATCTGAATTAAATAAAACACATGTGTAAAGGAGCGAGTTCTGTTTAGGAGTCAACAAGGGTGTTCTGCTACTCAGGATGGGTTCGCAAGGGTGAGTTTATAGTACTATAGATTTTTTGTTGAAAATACTTTTCACATGATGTGTCTAAACGAATTTTATAAATCTAATAAAAAGAAAGGATCGATTTACCATATTTTGTTGCATTTACTTTTAGATGGCTACTAATAAACACGATTTATTTCTCATTTTAGTGTTGTTTCGCGAGTCGAATCGAAAGCAGATCCATTCTTTTTGGGCTATACTTCAAAGGAGTTACCTTTGCACACAGACTACACGTATGGAGCCAACATTCCAGGGGTAATACGAATTATTATGCCAAACATAAATTTTCAAATTGTCTTCATCAAAAAATTTTGCTAAACGTTAAAGGCAATATAAGAAGAGTAAACCTGTGGTTAGTGAAATTTGCTAGAATATTTGTTAGATCGAAGAATGTAGATAAAAAAAACTGATCATTTCTATCCGTTTCATTTTTAATGTTGATCTTTTATCAGTTCGCCTTTTATGAGCAATTCATTTTTTTTTCGTTTCAATGTTTAAGATTTTCCACAGTCTTTTAAAAAAAAGTGGGATACAGACATTATTTATAGCCATCAATATTTCAATTAAATACATCACTTCTGTTTTTATAGATTGTTTTTCTGCATGGAATAAAATGTGCGCCCTCGGGTGGTAAAAGCTGGTTGGTTGATGGGTTTAAATTGGCAAAAGATCTCAAGAAGAATGATCCAACTGCATTCAAGATGTTATCTACTGGTATACTGAACTACGAAATGAATGGATTTGATATTGGGCAACAATTTGATCACAGGTGTAATACTCAGGTTATAAGGTAAACATTTCAATTCAAAATAACGTTTGTAGTCTTAGAGAGTAAAACTGGCAAAACACTATACTGTAGCATAAGCAGAAGCTTCCATTCACACGGTCAAATTAGGCCTACTATTTGAACGAAAGTTTTATATTAATAGTAGGCCTATGTAATATTGATAATAATAATAATAATAATAATATTAATAATAATAATAATAATAATAATATTATATTCTTATTAATTTTTATAATCATTTTATTATTAGGCCTAATATTATCATTACAATTAAATTAATAATCAAAATAATAATTATTGTATTGTTTTAATCTGAAGAGTCAATTGGCGCGGTGATGTTGACAAGATTGCATACAATGACTATGCACGGACAGAGTATTTGACTAACATCTCTGTTGATGACATGCCAGCGTATTATGAAGCATTGACTAAATTTATCTCCATGGCCTACTCCCAAGAATACCTTCTAGAAGCTATGATTGAGGAAGGCAAGTGTAGAATTTTCAATTATTGATGAAAAATTCATTAAGCCTATACTAGCATTATTAATGCTACTTATTATTACTACTGTTCTTTTTAATTTTCTTTTATACATTTTCACTTGCAGCTTACACTACTGCAACACTCCCGATAGAAGCTTGAAACATAAACAAACATATAGGCCTATTAAACTAATATAATAAATTGATATTCTGGCACCTTTTATTTTCTTAAGGCGAGAATTTTTTGTATACTTGTTTGGCTAACTTATTTCGTCAGAGGATGGCTGAAAAAAAAAACTTTTGTTTTCTCATTTAGCAATTAGTTTTTCCAAAAACATCCAGACGGAGGAGAAAATATAAAGAAAACTTTTATTGGTGAATATATACAGTGTAATATTGGGATTATTGTTAAATGCTTTAAATTTATGTAGGCCTAGGCCTAATTAGGAAAAATACGCATAGGGGCCTATCTGATTTTTGGAGATTTTATGGCAGCGGTGAGCGTAATAGAAAAAAAGAAAACAAAACTTGTATGAAATTTCCAATTTTTCGTGGCGGCGGGTGCGCTAATAACCCAAAAATAAAATTTTTTATTCAAAATCAGTATTATTGGCGGGCGGCGGGTTCGCTGAACAAGGTATAAAAAAGAGTCTCGCCTAAGCAGCGCTTCTTAATCATGGTGGTGGTTGTAAATCTAGGATATAAAATACTAGGAAAATACAAAATTTAAAACTAATAAAGATTCGAATTATTATCAATATATTATTATAAATATTTTTCATAAAGTTAGACCTACTTTCAATTAATAATTGTTTATTTTTTCCCGCAATAGGTGACATTGTAGCGATCGACAACCTTCGTCTGCTTCACGGACGTGACAAATATGAAATCTCAGATGGTAAAGGGCGCTATGTTGAAAGTATTTATATTGATATGGATGACTTTAACTCCCGTTTGCGTGTTTTGAGCCAGAGTTTCTAAAATATAAACAAAATACAGTGTATATTATACGGTGTGAAAAAGAAAACATTAACTTGATTTGAATATTATTACTATGGGTTCCCACCTGCGACCTACAGGCTTTTCCAGCTTAACCACAGCTCTTATGTGGGAGCGTTTCAGTCAGTGACTTGAAAAGATTTACGCCCGAAAGACCTCGTCTTTATTTTCTCAATAGGCCTTAATTTATTTTATATAAACAATTTGTCTATGCAACAACTCTATTTTCCTGTGTGGGTCAGTCAATGTAGGTGGGAAAATATGTATTATGCTTGGGGTTCAAGTGTTAGAATAGTTGGAGCACCACGATGTTTTAACCAGGGTTGCCATTTGGCCTTTTTGACGGCCAGATTCCTCAAATCTGGCCGTATAAAAATTTGCCTGGCCGTAACGTTTGAAAATTCATTTGGCCGAATTTTTGAATTTACATTTTTTTTCAATACAGGCCTAATATAACAGACTTGTTTTGGATATGTTGTTTTTGTTAGCTTAAATTCTATATTTGAGTCTAATCACAGTGGCGGATCCAGGGGGTTCAGCGGGTGGGGGTTCGTCCCCCCCCCCCACTTCTGGGAAGAAATGTAACAAAACACTATGGGTCCTGGCTTACAAAATTCATGCTAACTAGACGCGGATCCAGACCTTCGCCCACTTCGCCCAAGCGAAGGTTAGGGTGAGAATTCAAAATAAAATTTTTTCCAACAATCATACTTACTTTCCTTGACACTTATTTTGAACATTACCATTAGAAAAATGTTTAAAACTCCACACTATCCTATACCTTACACTTTTAAACTGATTGTACTGTAGGCCCTACCAGAAAGAGAGGTACGGTACATTCCCAATACATTATGGTCTTCCACTTCTATAGCACATGATACAGTGCATAGCAAACGTTATGTAACCACTAATAATAATCAGGTCCAGTGGCGTAGGGCGTAAGTATGGGCAGTGCAGTCAGTGCACAGCACTGGGGCCCGGGGCTATTGGGGGATCATTGAATAGGTATAATGATCTAAAAATGTAACTTTAAAAAAATCCTATTCAAACTTTAAAAGGATCCTTCAATAATATTAGGTTTTAGAGGCTATAGTTATTGATTATATTCATTACAATTTACCTATTAGGCCTACCTATTTCCCAAACGCTGCAAGTAAAAATAAAAACAACAATACAAGCCCTTACGTATACGATGGACTAATATACTTTTTGAAATCACATTTCTAAAGCAATACAATATCGTCACGCACCTTTTGTGTTTGTGGTACAGTATTTTAAAGTTGGTTCAACTATTATTGTGTAC